GGACGCGCGCTCAGCCCTTGAAGCCGGCGGGAGTGACTTCCGCGCAGGTAGGGATCGCTCCGTTAGCGTCTGCGCTAAAGCCCAATAGAAGGGAAGCTTCTCTCTCTTTCAATCTGTTTCCGAGCTCGGGAGCTGCGTGCCATCCAGGATCAAGCGGAATCCGGCCTAACTTAGACAGGCAGCGGGTCAACACGAGGAGCACTCTCCTGCGAAGGAGGACGAACTCCGGTTTCACTCCCTCTGCTTTTTAGGGTCGATCTGTCGGGATTTCGTTTTGCTGTCTTCCCGAGACAAAAGGGCACGTAGTTCTTCCCTTGAGTAGGCTTGCTTAAAAGGAGGGAGGTTTCGGTCAAGTTGCAGGCCTCCCTGCACCTCCTAAGTAGAGCCTGAAAAAAGTTCTTTTTCTTGACTACAGTCTCCCATCATCCCCCAGGCAGGGCAGGGAGTTGTAGTCAGCCACGATGTAACCCTGATGCTGGGAAAGTGTGAAGGCAAGAGGAGAAGGGGGCGATAGAGGACGAGATGGTTGGACAGGGTCACCGAAGTGACCAACATGAATTTAACCAGACTTCGGGAGGCAGTGGAAGACAGGAGGGCCTGGCGTGAGCCGGACACGACTAAACGACTAAATAACAACAACAGTCAACGAAGAAGAAGCAGCAGAAGTACTTGTGCTTGGACGTACATCGTACTAAACGAAGTAGACCTTCTGGAGAACCCTGCAGGATCCGGCTGCATGCGGCCCCCCTTACCGGTAATTGGAAGCCTCCGTATGAAGTCCACGGGCTTGCGCCGCTTCGCTGTAACGACTGTAATCAGTGTGGTGGAGAGATCTCTTTAAACAACAGATCGGTCGCCCGCTGTGTGCCAGAACCATCCAAGGTCCTACATTTTTTGGGGCTTAGAAAAATCAACATGCTGGATACCGAGTTTGTGCGTGCGAATGTCTTTGTATTTTGTGAACAACTGAGTCAACCTCCTACGTAAGTTAAACCCCTGGGACGTCCATGGAAAGGAAAGGTTTTCCAAGGAAAGGTTGGGAAAACCCTTCCTTCCTTCGCGGACAGAATCGTCTAAACTTGCAGAAGGGGAGAAGCTCCACACGTCTCTGCCCCAGCCCTTAAGAGCTTATTTATTTTATTTATTTAAATTTATACCCCGCCCATTTAGTGAACATGCCCCCTACTCTGGGCGGCACACAAAATATTAAAAAGCATACAACGAAAATTTTAAAACCATATAAAACATATTAAAAGAAAACAAACAAAACCCTAACTCCCCCATAAAATCCCCGGCTTCTTCCCAGTTTCTGTTCTCAGCTAGTCCTTGGATCAGGTCGGGGTGTCGGTGGGGGCGGGGCGCCCCGGGGACTTCTTTGGAAAGCGCCGTCTCCCCCCCTCCCCCCGTCACCTCCCTGCGGTGCGCAATGCTCTTTCCGCAGAGGGCGCTCCGGGGCCCGCGCTGGAGTCCCTTTGGCGACGAGTGGAGAAGCTTCGATTTTTCTCAAGCCGTTTGGATCAGCTCTAAGTGAACATTATTTTCCTCCTAAGGTTTTATGCTTCTTCCATACATTTCCATTTTAATCTTTCTCTTGCTCGCTCTGCGTTTGAAGCGACTATTTCGTTGTTGTAGAGGCGCTGTCCTGAGGTTGCCCTTGAGGAGGAGGAAGTAGAAAATAAAGGAATAATAAACAATAAATAAAAATCTTAGAGTAATATATGTAATACTGGAGTCATATCAAGCTACAGTATGGAGCACATTTATTTGCGGATAAACTTCTATAAATACAGGAGTTTTTATTTCTAAATAATCTTCCAGTGGGCTCTAAGCTTCCTTTCAAATTCCAATTAAGGAAAAGGGAAAAATCACATTTAGGAGCTGATCAAAGAACCGCTGAATCAAATTCCGGAGATGCATTTAGCACTTGACCACATGCTCTTCTTTCTTTCTTTCTTTCTTTCTTTCTTTCTTTCTTTCTTTCTTTCTTTCTTTCTTTCTTTCTTTCTTTCTTTCTTTCTTTCTTTCTTTCTTTCTTTCTTTCTTTCTCCTTCCTTTTCCTTTTCCTTTTCCTTTTCCTTTTCCTTTTCCTTTTCCTTTTCCTTTTCCTTTTCCTTTTCCTTCTCCTTCTCCTTCTCCTTCTCCTTTTCCTTCTCCTTTTGTTCCCTGGTTGGACGCAAAACGAAGTTTTGGACCTGAGATGCAACGGAGGTTTGTTCGGGGGAAGCCTTCTTGGCTGGCATTCCGGAGAATTCCTGTGGTTCCGGAAGGGCACCTGGCCAAGCGCCCCCCCTCCCCCGTCTCCAGGGCCCGAGGTCCATACATTAACACCGGTGGGTGGGGTGGGAGGACTGGGGCCGGGTTGTGGGTCTGACCTCGTCCTGAGCAGCCCTTGCTGGAGGCGGCTGGCGGAATCTGTCCGATCGACTTAGCGCGCCACCAGACGTGGAGCCCGCGCTGCGTGCGCCCCCTCCACGCCGCCGCCTCCTCCCCCCCACCCCCACCCCACTTGTTTTCGCCCGACTGCCTTTCTGTGACTGATGTCCTTTGAGCGCTCCCTCCTGCGGGCCTGCCCGCTGCCCCATAAATAGGCTCCCTCTCCCTCGCTGACCTCATTCGGGGCGGTGCTCCCTCCACAACCTGTCCAGCCTGGGAACAACCGGGGCGCGCGGCGCAAGCGGGGCGCCAGCCAAACGGGGAGCCGGATCCTCGCCCACCCACCGCCGCTCCCCCGCGCAACCCCCACCATGCTGGGCGGCGAGATCCGGCCACCGCTGACCTGCCCCCCTTGCAATAACGATGTAGGGTTCTTGCAACGGAACAACAGCCTGGAAGACAAGAGCCGCCTGGTGAGCGCGCTCAAGGAGAGGCAGCCGGCCAAGACTCTGCTGGTGACCTGCGAGAACAACGAGAAGGAAGCCCGCTTCCGGAGGACCGAGACGGACTTCTCCAACCTCTACGCCCGCGGTGAGTGCCCCTTGGTGGGCTTTCTCTTCTCCTTCCTTCCTTCCTTCCTTCTTTCTTTCTTTCTTTCTTTCTTTCTTTCTTTCTTTCTTTCTTTCCCTTCCTTCCTTCCTTCCTTCCTTCCTTCCTTCCAACAGTTTTTCCTGCGGGGAGAGGCTAAGAGCTTCAGGAAAAAGGGCTTCAGATGGTATACTTGATAGAGATGTGGAAAATTATGCCAGCTTCCGAGAAAGCGGATATACCGAAGAGCCTAAAGCCATTTGTTAGTCCCAACCAGATTAGATCAATTGAATCAATGAAACATATCTAAATGGCAATTTGCTGAAGCCCCAGTAATTCGGTGGAGCAGTTTCCAAAGAGTCACGTGTTTGAACAAGTGGGCTGCAATCCAGGAAAACTTGACCGAAAATAAACCTTGAAGGTGCCATAAGGCTCTGGTTTGCTTCGGATTCCTCCCCCCCCGCCCCTTTTAATTCAGCGGGCATAGGTTGCTTGGAGCCAACAGCTGGATTGAGGCCAGAATATTTTTCTCTTTTTATTATTTTCCTAATAATATTAGGTTCTGTGATGAGGGCAGGCAATGATTGAGAACAGATCCTGCCCTCCTCCCTATGACAGCCTTTCGAGTCTCCCCCTCCCTCTCTGGGGCTCATTCACACACTGGTTCAGAGCTTGAAAAAGTTAATTTTTCAAGTACAACACCCAGAATCCCCTAGCTATGCTATCAAGTAGCTCTGCTAGCTGAGGGATTATGGAAACTCTGTCCCAAAAATAGGTTTGCCAAGCTCTGTCCCAGTTAGCTTGATCATCTGTATCGATCTGCCAAGTAGTCTAGAGCAGTGGTTCTTAACTTTTGTTACTCAGATGCTTTTGAACTGCAACTCCCAGAAACCCCAGTCAGGACAGCTGGTGGTGAAGGCTTCTGGGAGTTGCAGTCCAAAACTCCTGAGTAACCCAAGGTTAAGAACCAGTAGTCTAGAGGATTTCTCCTCAACAGCCAGGGATCTGCTGTTCTTCTTTTGTATCAAATCCAAGTAAACCCTCCTATTGCTCCTCTTGTTCAACTTCCCTTAAGCAGGTGTTGGACTACAAATTCCATCTTCTCCAGGTGGCATAATGCTGCCTAGGGTGATGGGAGTTGTCATCTGGCATGCTTGAAGAGGCACCCACCTGCAGGAGTCTGCCCCCATTTTACTTGGGGTGCGGATCCTGCAGAATGCCTGTGGTCACAGAACTCTCTTAGTCATGAGAGAACCACAGTGGCTTAGGCAGGACTCGTTCAAGGCTTCTGCCACATGGAGGAGGAGATTTGATTAGACCAGTGATGGTGAACCTTTTTGATTCCGAGTGCCCAAACTGCAACACAAAATCAGCTTATTTATTTCAAAGTGCCAATGCTGCAATTAAAACCCAAATGCTGAGGTTTTAATTTGAACCCCTCTGCTGGACCACTGCACCAGCAAAGGGGAGTGCCGAAATCCGGGATCGGAGGACGTGTAAGTATTTCTCTATGGTGACTTATGGTTCGGGTGCCCATAGAGAGGGCTCTGTGTGCGAAGTGTGGCATGCGTGCCATAGGTTTGCCATCACTGGATTAGACAGTGTGGTTCTGGAGCCACCAATGTGCAAAAACTAGCTATAATTGTAACACTGTGAATTCCACAGGGATAAAATTGTATATAAAAGTTAAACAGCGCATCTTCCATCTCAGCTTGGAAAAGTTATTTTTTGGACTACAACTCCCAGAATCCCCCAGAATATGAGATTTGCCAACCTGGAAAGTATCATGTCCAAGCTTGGGTTTTGACACTCATGGATATGTGAGTGCAGCCTTATTTTATAAAAAGGGAGGCATGGGGCATCCTTGAATTCAAGCAATATGATTGTGATGCGGGACGTTAATGGCAAAAGGGCAGTCTGTACATGTTCAATGGCATGTATGCTGCTTATTAGTTTCTCATTCCTTGTTGGTCTGAAGCATCAAAGTAAAGTTCAAACAATGAACTGAGAAAGGTGTGGATCTGCTTGAGCAAGGGGCACAATCCCGTATTGTGAGCGAGCCAGAATCAGAGAGACTGCAAAGGATCTTTGCTGCCCTTGTTGAAGGAGGCCTTAGTCAGATCTGTCTAGTCTGAAGGATGTCATAGGATGATTGTGAAGAGAGAGAGAGAGAGAGAGAGAGAGAGAGCTCCTGCTTGTACTTCCCAGCTACTGATTTAAGAAAGAGGGATGCAAGAGAGAGGAAGAGTTTATGCTATTCAGTGAGGAACTGATGCATAGAGCAGCTCAGCAGTCTGGTTTCCCAAAGGTACATCTGCCCCAGCTTGAGCCCCCCCCCCACCTGCCTTTTACATAGACAGACACTGTTAGAATTCCTTGTTGCTTCCTGCAGGGTTTGGAGCCCCTGGGGTGTTAACAGGCAGAGAACAAGGTGACGAGGGGCTGGGGTATTTGGGATGGTATGATTTTTCATCCTTCCATGAGGGGATTCATGGAAGACATCACAGTGTCCAGTATTTCAGCTCCATGGGAGGAAGAAGGCCACTAGACTAGGCACATTTCTTTCTTAATGCCTCACACAGACACGCCTGCCATGTTGGTTCCCCCCTTAGTATCCTGCTTTCTCAAATAAACACACACACACACACACACACACACACACACACACACACAGAGAGAGAGAGAGAGAGAGAGAGAGAGAGAGAGAGAGAGAGAGAGAAAACACAACAACAGGAGAGAGAGAGAGAATACTCCAGAACATTAGGATGGAATTGCTCACTGCTTCTCTGCCAGACTTTTTTACAGTTTTGACTAAAATTCAGAAATGGCAGGAATTCAGGAGGTGATATCCCTCCTCCCCAAGCAGGTGCAGTAAAACTTTCCCCGCTGAAGGATACAGTTCGTGGAAGGACAGGTCCTGGCCAGGAATGGGGGAAAGGGTTGCCAGCCTTTACAAGAGCTGGCCATGCATTGAAAGTATGGGAAAACTCTACCAACGGACAATTTTAAAATCCTTTTCTTGGGCATCAAATAATTCTTGAAGGGTGCCACAGGGCAAATGTAAGGTGTTTACTAGTCCAGATGAAAGTGCCCTGGGTGACAGTGAGGAGCACAGTAATTATTGCTCTAGGACCACAGGGTAGGAATCCTGAAAATGGATTCAGATTACTAGAAAGGAGATTTTACCTGAAAAGCAGGAAGAACCTTTTGACAATAAGAACTTTTCTGACAGGGGAATGGACTGCTTCAGAGGCTGCTGGACTCCTTTGTTGGAGGCTTTTAAACAGAGGCTCAGATGGGCTGTGTGAAATTATGCCAGTGTAAACTGGATTTGGCACTGGAAATAATTTGTTTATACAAATGGAGAGCTTCTTGTCTTCCCTTTCATGCTCTGAGTCTCCTTAGGGCTCCCTTTTGCCCCGGAGAAGACTTTGGGGGCCTCAGGATGGTGGGAAAGCATTTAACAGGAAAAGGGGGACACCATTGGTGACAATCCAGAGGTGATTTTTTTTACGATTAAAGGCTTCCGCTCCCCACATCAGAAGCCCCCCAAAGTCTTCCCCAAGGCAAAAGGATGCTCTAGGTAGCCTTGGAACCTGAAGCCGGGGGGGGGGAGGAATTGGTGGTAGGAAGCTTTCAATTAATCTAAATTAATTATTTCTGAGACTAGGTCTAGTTTATGCCAACATAACATTAAACACAACAGGATTTTGCCCCTCTTTGACAATAATAATCTGAAGGCTCCTTGGAGAAGAGCTAGGATGTAGATACTCCCAATGAATATAGCTGTACTAAGGACAGGGACAGAATTCAAAATGGCTCCTCTAAGCCTGGGCTCCTAGTTGTTTTGAAGGATATGCCAAGCCTTCCTAAGTATTATTATTTTGGAGGTGTCAGTATTTAATGTTTTGCTGGTGTTGGGCTATCCAAATATTACAGAATTACTTCAGATTTTCAGGTTTTTTAATCATGCTAGAGCCTCCGCTGTTTCTCACAAGTTTCTTTGGTCCTCGGTTGGCCCAGAAACTTAGCATTCAACAATGTTAAGATATGAAGAATCACAGCTTGAAATTATATGATGGATTAGATTTCTGGATTTGTGGTTTGCTGCTATGATGGAGAGTATGGAAGCACAGTGTTCAGTGATCGGGGGAAAGCTTTTTAACCACCTCATCTGTGGGGGGTGAGTCTTTTTAGTGAGACTTTCACTCTGACCGAAGAATAGTTTGGCAACAGAGGTTAAATGTGTGTGGAAGGATCTTGCAAATTCTTCCACTGCCCTTCCTCACAGGACGGGTTGTTTATTGATCCCTCCCTCAGATTTGCTGCCAGCCAAGAATGGCGAGGAACAGACGGTGCAGTTCCTTCTGGAGGTGGTGGACATTCTCCTGACCTACGTGAGGAAGACCTTCGACAGGTCCACCAAGGTGCTGGACTTCCACCACCCACACCAGCTCCTCGAAGGCATGGAAGGCTTCAATCTTGAACTCTCCGACAACCCGGAGTCACTTGAGCAGATTCTGGTGGACTGCAGGGACACGCTGAAATATGGAGTGAGGACAGGTAAGAAAACAGCTGGGCTTTGCATCGAACCAGCGGTATCATGTGTATGCGCCTGCATGTTCGCACAACTAAAGAAGCCCTCCCCAGATACTCACTACCTGGAGGTTATGAAGTCTCTGTTTAGGCAGAAGAGCCGTAGGGGCCAGAGCTGGTGATCATCAGGACTAAACTGGCAGGGCAACAGAAGAGGGTTTTTTTTTATTCAGTTTTCATTGAAATACACTGTAAAACAGCACTTGGTTGAATCTAAAAATATAGCAAAAATCAGATAGGACAATAGATGCTCCTGTCCTGTCCACAGGCCTCTGCACTGCCCCACCATCAGTTCCACAGGGTTTTACAGCCTTCTGGAGCAGATTCTGAAGCTGGACCAGTGAGACTTTAAGGAACAGGAATTGCACCCACTCCAGGTTCTGTAGATGGAAGTGGTTCCATCGGCAGAATGACACTGTTGGATCCAGCATGCCGAATCAGTTAAAAGCCCCATGGAATACACTGAGTAAACTTGCTGTAGAAATGGGCCGAATAATATTGTTATCAGAAAAAGGTCCAAAAGATTTCGCGAAGGCTTTCACGGCCGGGATCTAATGGTTGTTGTGGGTTTTTCGGGCTTCTTGGCTGTGTTCTGAAAGTGGTTCTTCCTAACGTTTCGCCAGTCTCTGTGGCCAGCATCTTCAGAGGACAGCCTCCCAGAGCACAGTTTGCTGAGAACACGGCCAAGAAGCCCGAAAAACCCACAACAACCGTCCAAAAGATTGTTTAATGGAAAATTCACCAGATAAAGCTCTCTAGCATGAGTCCAGCGTTCCTGGCGTTTTGACCCCAGTTAGACGTCTTCTGGGATAGCCCCAATCAGAGGTGAGCAGAGATCGAATTGGATGGACTCCCCGGTTTTCAGCCTCTATCCTGCTGCTCTCTGCTCCTGAAACTTACATATTGCTGATACATTTTAGTGGTATGGCAGTGGAAGCAAGCAAGAAAAGCAAACACATTACAGAAGACTGGATGGATGCTTCCTCCCAGCACGAGAGGCCCAGCTTTCAGTCCCATCATTCTCAGAAGCCTGTTCATGGAAGTCATGACAGAAGGGCCTTCTTGGTAGCTGCTCCCAGGCTTTGGACCTCTTCTCCAAAGGGAGGTTAGGGTGGCTTTCCTCCCTGCTGTCCTTTTTTGCAGCAAGCAAAAACCTTTGGCAACAGCCTGCTAGCTAAGGACAAGGGTATTCGTAAGATTTGTTGGTTTTCTTCAATATCTATGTATTGTTAGCAGTTTTACTGACATGTTTTCAAGGTTTTTATTTTATTATGCTTTGTTAAGAGAACTTTTATGTTGGTTTTCATATTTGTACCTAGTACCCTGTTATGAATCACAGCTAGAGTAGAGCCACTGAGTCAATGGCATTTACATCAGCGTCACTCATGAATCAACAATAGATTCAATGGGCCTGTTCTCTAATTGATACTAGAAATGAGATACTGGTCATTACATGTTTAGTGGTACTGTTTTTTTTTTAAAATTATTGTATAGCAACCTTGAGCCCCATCCTGGGTAAGAAATGCAGCATATTAAGCATATGCATAAGAACAGATGTAGATTTCTTCTCATTTCAGTCATGATCTGGCCTCGTGCCAACTTATCAGTCCTGGGCATTTCATTTTTGTTCCTGTTGAGTTTTCTGTGATGGTGTGGCAAGGAGTGAGAGTGAAGCAAGGAGAAGCAACACGGGAAAGGGAAAAGAGATAAAGAGGGGAAAATTGTCCAGTGTGCAGGCTCCTTGGCTCTTGTATTTACCTACAGAAAATACCATGGATACTGGTTTTAAGAGACACCTTACATGGGCAAATGTTAAAGGAATTACCTGAATAGCATTGGTGTTTTTTTCTTTCTTTCAAGGAAAGGATGCAAACAGTGGGAACATGGTAAATTTGGAATTTCAGGTATTCCTCATGACGGTCCATATAGCCTTTCCCACCCCCATAATAAGGAGAGTCCAAATATGCAAGCAGTTGGAGTGGTCCATAATAATAATGAAGAGCAGATATTTACTAAAGCTAATGGTTCTTAATTACCCATTTAAGACCAAATCATCCTCAAGTCCTTTTCATAACAAGAGGAATGGCTTGCCACAATATACTGTACTGTTTTTGGGAAAATCCATTATTCTTCCAGCTACTGTGAGCAGGACTGCAGCTAAATTCAGCAGGAACAGGGCAGCTTGGAGGGGATGAGGACAGATCATGTCATAGTCCATACTACACAGAAAGTCCCTGAGCTTCAACCTTGTGAGCCCAGCCTCCACTACACCACTGCAGGCAACATGTAAACAGTACAAGAAAGAGGTTGCCCTGGTGGAAACGGTTTAAACAATATTCTATTTGCAGTACAATTTGAGACATAGCCTCTTGGGGCACAAGACCCAGTGTGTTCAGTGGGCTGCTCCCAGTGAACAGATACAGGACTGCAGCCTGAGTCATCAATTAAAATGATATACTAGTCAAATGTTTAGGAAACAAGGAAGAAAGCCTCAGTCAAAAATCTGGTTTAAATCAGAGGAACAACTCATTTGAAATCAATTTAAATTGCCTTCATTTAAACCAGGCCCACCCCTGCTGCAAGCCTCTGCTTATTCTGCATGCAGAATAGGAAGACATGCACCCTCAAAGAGTTGTAATCTTTTTCACTTGATGAAATGCAAGGTGCCTCTATCTCAGGGGAACAATATCGTTAGGGTAAATAAGGGTGTTAATGACACTGAATTGGCAGTTTTTCTTCTTTATGCCCCCAAGAGAGCAGATGTCAAAAACAAGGAATGGAAAGGAGGGGTCAACATCTTAGGATCAGTAATACTTTGCAACCCTACTGATAAGTCATTTAAATAAAGCAAGCTTCCTGCTTCCAGGCTATTTCCAAGTGAGATATCAAATACTGTATAATCCCCCCACCCCCATTCTTCAGTGAGTAAGGGGAGTATTCTGAAACTAACTTGTTTTTAGAGAGCCTTCTAATGTTCAAGTGGAGAGTGAAATGTTGCTAAAGAAACTGAGCTCACCGTGAAGTTTTGAATGTGATCTCGGACCCAACAACCTAGCAAATAAAAATTCTTCTGGAACCTCAGGGATAAAAGGACACAGTTCTCAAACCCCTTATTCTGCACAAGGAGGTTTGTAACGAAGGGCTGCCATGTGGCCAAAAGGCTCATCTAGCCAGAAGTAAGAATACTCTGTTTATCTGCTTACAGCTATTCTTACCCATGTTCTGATTGTCCATTGGTCAGATGGGTGAATAGAAGCAGACAGAAGTGGACGTACTCTGCTTAATTAAGCCACTGTTTGGTTTTATTGAACTCCCAAATTAAGGTGGCATGCCTAATATTTGATACATAGGCTTGCTCTTATAGATCTAGATCAGAGCTTTGAAGATGTATACAGTTCCCAGGATTCCTTAGGTGGGAGGTTCTGGGTGTTTTCATCTGAAAAAGGAATTTCCCTGAGCTCTGTGCAAGGGGCACATGATCGGGAACTTTCCATTCTTAGCAATAAGACTCTGAAGGTGAGACACAGGGGACAATTCTAACCACCACGCTATACTGCTTTGAACCTTCCCAAGCCATCTTACGGAACCCCAACTGGAAACAGAACATTGAACTGGTGACTAGATGGGCATCTGGTCTGAACCAAGAAAGCAGTTCTTATGAAGTGGAGGTGGAGAGAATTTGCAGGGAAGACATGAGTTGTTAGAGAAATATATTCGCATTAGGGTGGAATGTTAGCAATGCTCAGCCAGTACCAGCTCTGCCATGAGGCAGAGTGCGGCATCTTCCTCGGGTAGCAGATTTGGGGGACTGTGGAAGGGCAGCAAGTTGTTAGCTTTTTCATTTGTTATTGCTGTAGTTTTTCTATAAGGGACACACACACAGAGAGATTTGAGCCTCCTGTGCCAATATAACTTAGCTTTGGGTGCAGCTCCCCTTGACTTCTGATGATGTCAGAGGGAAGGCACACTCTGTTGCTCTGCTTCCTGCAGCAAAATGTCTAGGGCTGGCCCCGTATACAGTTTAGTTGCCTGTCGGCACTTTATTCTGGTTTTTTTTTTTTTTTACATCCAGTGCACATTGGTTACCTTCCAGATGTGTTGGTTTATGATTGCCATCCATGGGAAAAAAATGGGAGCAAAGGCTTGCCACAGCTTTGCTCATGTCAAGCGAACATTAATGTTCTGTTTTCAGCCTTTGAAGCAAGGGAAGCCAGCAGTCCAGCGTAGCCACTATGATCAGGCAAAGGCCTGGCAGGGAGAGAAGCCTGAGTGACACGCAGGGAGCTGTCCAGCAACTTCAGCAAGCTTAAGAAATAAAGTGCTGAGCTGCAAAGGGAGCTGTCCGCAAGAAGGAGGCAGGCAGCCATGGAGGGGGTCCTTAAAATGCCTTATGGCCCCAGTCTTCCTGGTGGGGGCCTGTCCTGGAACAAACTTTAGGAAAGGCTTCCTCCTCTTAAAGAGAGCTTGAAAATGTGATATTTTGTGCAGCCAAGGGAGTGCTGTGCAGTTACATGATTTGGACTCCTTGACTGCTTTGATTTCATGTCTCAGCAATCATCTTGGAGAGAGTACAGCCAGGGAGTGACTCCGGTTAGGGTGCATGAAGTCTCCCGATGATGGAGGTTTTCTTTCTGCAATGTGGTTTCTCAGACTCTCAGAAGTGCTCAGAAAAACTCACAACATGGATTTTCAATCTGCAGGTAGAGTATTCAACCCTTCACCTAGTCAGGATGGTGCTTGGCAGGCAAGGGATGGTGGTGTTGAAGTCTTGTCAGGTTCCAAGAGGACTGCACATTCCCCAGCCCTGCTCCCTAAGGAGCCACATGACAAAGAAAAGCAACAAAGTTGACCTAGGATGTACTTTCTGTCACACATCCTTCAGTGTTGCTGCATCATAGAGGGATTGAGTTGGGGGATCTAACGGCCTAGACAACTCTGTTCCAATAGTACCACTCCACTTTCCTGCG